CATGGAGAGCAAGAGTCCTTTTCTACAGAATGCTGGCAGTGGAAAGGCATTTCTAGTCAGACAGTGATGGAGAGAAGACTCCAAAAAATGGGGGAAGGGAAAAAAAGAAAGAGGACAAAAGTCCCAAGAGAGATCTGACTAAGTGCAAAAGTTTTCCAGAACAGAGATATAATAATAGTAAGAAAGTTAATATTAAATTCTCACATACATGTGGTTGCAGGACGTCCCATAGGGGATATCAAGCAACCAGTATAATGAGGAGTGTGGGGAATACTTCTGGGCAGGTGGTTTTAATGATGGAAGATAATGGTAACAATGGTATTGACTGTTGGCAGTATTGAAGGCTTCTTGGTCATTATCAATACAGTCTATGAAAACCTTGGCTTCTTTGGTGTAAGGCTTGGGACCCAACGGGACTACATTATATAACCATACAGGTGTCTTGTTGGGTCCCTATACACTGCACTGATGATGGACAAAAAACCCACAGGTGTAGGTAGTTTGGAATAAATGGCACTTTAATATTAGACGATATTTGCCCTATACACCAACAGTTTTTGATGTGCATCTGGCTGTTGGGGCATAAATGAATGATTTACATGGCTCCACTCACTGTCCTGAAATGAGTAATAATCTTCTTGCGATTTGTGATGGAATGAGACATGTGAATACCTTTTGTTCTGAAAAGCCTTTACTGCACCACAACTGCAGATCCTTTGGCATGATAAACTCTTCATGTACGGTAAATATATTTCCACTATTTGTATTGCACTTTTCCTATTATTCAGCTTTAATTATATTTTTAATATATCACTAGGAAGCAAAACAATGAAATTGTTGTTTAGGGGTGAGATTTGGGAAAACAGGTCATAATTTATGTTGTCCTTGTCCTTTACTGATTTGATTTGTGGCACACAGAATGGTATTGCTGCTTTGTTGACAATATGAAATGACGCAGTCTGGTAATTGTTATATGTTGGTTTGAAGCCATGTCCTACTTTACTGTGGGTTTGAAGCCATGCTCTACTTGTTACTTCAGGCTCAATTGGATGTTTGACAACTAACAATGCAGGTATTTAGTAACCTTACCACTTTTTTTTTTTGGTGTGAATTAGCTTGGCTCAAGTACAATGTTTTGGCAGAAAACAATCAATCCAGCTTTTTGGCAGGCCAAGGTCATTTGTTTCCTTCATAGCTACGTGAAGTAATAGGCATAAACAGCTTCTCTTCCTACTTACTGAAAATTAATATATTGTTTTAGAAATATATTTTAACAGCTGTTAATTTAAAGCAGCTGTTGTTTTTAAATGGATACAAATAAACATACTAAACATAGAAATTTGTTTAGTTTCCTTTTGGATGGACTCAGAATTTTATTTATTTTGTTATTTGCATGGGGGGGCCTAAAGAATGCTAGAGAGCTATGTGATCAAGTAAACAGGGTATATCAAAAAAAGGGAAAGAGAAAGAAAGGGGCTTTGAGGTGACCACTAAAGAATACCGGGGAATTGAGCCAAAGATAAGGTCGATTGATTCATAGATATAATAAAATTTCATTTTTAATATACTCAATTCATAATGTCAATACATATAAATATATTAAAATTCATCCAGATAAAAATCATAAATAGATGTATACAACATAAATAACCTCCCTGGAGCCCACACAGAAACCATGTTTATCAATTCGGCGAAACGCGTTGAAGACTGGAGCAAGCACAGAATCATGGCTGAATTATTTATATATAGAACAATCATGTGCAAACAATCATGTAAATTAGATATGAATACAATGAGAGCAATGACCAATATATGAATTGATAAACATGGTTTATCAATTATATATCTTTGGATCAATATCAATATCTTTTGATCAATTCCCCGGTATTCTTTAGTGGTCACCACAAAGCCCCTTTCTTTCTCTTTCCCTTTTTTTAATATATATTGCATATATAGGGGTGGTGTCCCAGTTTGTGTGATGGTTCCTAACCTCTGTAATACAAGTAAACAGGGTGTTAGAGAGGTGAATTCATCACTGTGCTGCTTCTCCTTTCACTGACCAGTCACAGGCTGGGTCAGGTAATGAACACTTCATTCTGAGAGAAAGAGAGAGACAGAGGGAGAGAAAGAAAGAGACCTGTTCAGAGCTTTCTCTCTCTTTCTCTCGCTTGCTGCGCAGCTTTGACCAGCTGTTTGTGCATTAAGAATCAGCTGCAGTCACATTCGAGGACTTAAAGCAGAACACCAAGCAAAAATAAGAAGATAAAATGAACAGCCTATTAAAAATAACAAAACCCGCTTTTGCAGCAATATTCACCTTTGATCCAGAGATTTCCCTCAGTATATTATTTTTGCCGTTAGCATAGCCGCCAGGAAAGGCACATAGTTCCCCAGGCCACTTTACATTTATGTTACCGTAGATACTACTACATATAGATTAGCAAACCTTCACCCTTTCTCCAGGACATTTGCATTTACAAATGCAGCACCCCTACCCCCTTACAGCCCTGCTGTACCGGGCTGGAGTGTGATCCACTCCTTGCTTTCTTCCCTGTAACCACACAGGAGGTGAGAGGAAACAAAACTCTCAAACCTTTTCAATAATGAATCCAGAAAAGTATTTCTTTACATTTTTGGCCAAGCACTAACAGTCTGAACAGCTGGCTTCAACTCTCTCAATTCAACCTCCCTGAACTTCCTGTCCAGTACAAGATCACAAAGGGCAGCACAGATTCCAGCAGCTGTCCATCTACTAGCTTGGAGAAGGGAGAAGGGAGGAAAGAGAAAGGATGAGTGTGGGGAGCAGGGGAGTGTCTTGCCTTTCTGTGCCTGTGCCTTTCTGTGCCTGTGCCTTTGTGGAGAAACACACAGCTTACGAGCACACACATAGGGCCCTGCAAGGGAAAGGATCCACCCTAAAAAAATGATATCACGGCCAGTGATCAGTGGGACCAGCTGATTCTAGAGGAAACTAAAACATTGAAACATCAAGGAGCTGCATCCATTGTGTGTGATTTAATCAGTATTTAAAATAGTTTAAAAATCATTTAAAAAAAAACTTTTGACTTTAATATTACTTTAAAGTTAGGAGAATCCTCACCACTGGCAGCTGTCACCAGAACAGGTATCGCCGTTGGGAGATTTTCCCTCTACAACTCCACAAGGATAACATTCCCCTCACTTTCTTTTCTAGTTACAGTGGTCACCAGGATTTGAAGGGAAAATGAATCTCTCCAAAGGGGCCAAGAAGAGCAAAATAAACCCAGCAGAGGTTCCAACCCTTCCTGACTCTGCTCAGAGCTAGAAAATAAACTTTTGGCTTGTGTTCCGCATTAATATTTCTATTTATGTTACAGTGTCTAAGATAAGCATCTACATGCGGTTTCTGCTAACATGTTGTATTACCGCCAAACCAGGGAATGATTATCTTCAGATGAGAATGAAGAATGCCGTAGTTGGTAGTGAACTCAGTTTTAAAGAAATCTCTATCCAAAATGAATACATTAAACCGGGAATAGGAAAGCGTAACATTAAAGAAGAACTTCACACTTCCCATAAAAAATACAGTTCATGTGCCCTTTACCTTTGCTGGTGTTTTTATGCTGCATAAATATACTTACAAGCCCACCAGATCTAACATTCTCTTGCACCACTCTCCTACTCTAGGTCCCAACCCATACCACCATCTTCCTCTTCATACGGGGGTCGGCCATCTCTTACGGGTTCTTGCACCGGCCTCCTGATGATGCGGCACCCAATGCATGTTGCTGTGCTGTTGGGAATCTGATGCCTAATGGGATATGTGACGTCAGTATACCAGGTGGCTGCAGAGGAAGGTGGACACCTCATTCTCATCTAATGTAAACGAGATTGGAGGCCTGGTGCAGGTTGGCCATGAATAACAGTTTTTTTTAAATAAAATAGTCGGCTGTTTTGTGTTGTGAAGTTCCGCTTTATGCTGTGAATATGCAATATACTACTGTGAAGATTTCTTACTAATCTTGTTCTCTCACTCTTTGCACTACCTATGTCTGTCAAAATTATTTTGGCATATCTAGAAACTATTTTTCCTGCCTTCTGATGGTCAATACAATTGTTCCCCGCATGTATGCTTTCGCAATGCACCTTCCATAACACCTTGATGAAAAGAGTATGGAAATTAGTGAGATTTGTTGGAATTTCAAAGTACCACAGAAGAAGGGTCTCTAGTACTACATGAATATAAAAATAGGTATAATCTTACATACAAGTGTACATAAAGTGAACCTGTGTCTGTGGATTACAGGTTTAATTTTATGCTGGAACCCACAGCTGCTAATATTTAGCCTTACTTTGCTCTAACTCCATGCTGTTACCCCATTTGAGGCAAAATTACATACCTGATACTTTTGGGTATGAAGAAGCATGTCACTCTAACTACTTCTTCCACCTTGCAGTATTGGTGGTGGCGGGTTTGACTTTGGGCTTTCATGAGGCTCCCAACAATTCTTGCCCCCCGGCAACTGAACAAAGTATTTGGAAAGCCAAAAAAAGCACAGACTGACTTAACTCCACAAAAAATATTTGTAGTTTGTATATACTTCATATCTATCATATATTTAAAGTACATTGTATACCTAATACACTGCAAGTTCATTCTGATTTTTTTTATGAATATGTTTTCATGAATATGCTAAAAAATGCCCTTGCTAGGACCCAGATGCCAGTCAACCCATTAGCAGAATTACATGCTACCATGCCCCATGCTTAGATTCCTGGATTAGTGACGCTTGGCAACGGGATCTCTGCATACGTATTGCAATAAAGCTACACCTACTTATATATTATTGTCATGGACATATTTGAAATTAATAAAGAGATTGTTCCTGTAAGTCCAATGTTCTATTGTATAGTTTAATATTAAGGTTTTTTTTAGGTTACATGTTATTTTATTTAAAGACTAAATAAATTCCTGCACGTTTCTACATGCATCAAAGCATTGTCCCTGCAAATTAAGTTACCTCTCTTGGAGCCTCTGTCTGGATGAATTCCTCAAAGATTTTCTGGGCTTTCAGAGCCATTTTAGCTGGAGTCTTGGTCTTCTTATAATCCTCACAAGCCATCCAAAATTCAATATTCTCCTCACTGAATTCCATCTTCAGAAAGCTTTGGAAAGCAGAAAGTCCATCTATAAAAAAGGGAAAAAATTATGTTTAGACATCATCACATTGCTTCCAACAGAATCAAAAGTTTTCAAAGAATGACAACAAAAACAAAAAAACACTGTATAGCTAACACCACTGTATAGATACCACCACTGTATAGATACCACCACTGTATAGGCCATCATTTTTTTTACTAAAGCTGTCATGGGACAGCTTTAGTAACAAAGTTTTACTAGTTTTAGTTTTCACTGAAGCTAATCTCTGTTTATACATTGTTTCATTATATATTTCATTGATTAAATTGCATTTCATTGATTAAATTGCTCAGGGTTGTGGCAGCTTTTTGTTAACTGATCTACAAAACAAATCGAAGTTCCAATTTTTGATGGTGAAGGTAAAATCTATACACTTTTGTATAGGGTGACTCCTTCATTTTAACATAAATAAGTTAAAAATCTGACTTACAGTATTTTAGTTCAGTTCTGTTGAACTGATTGTCCTGATTATATGAGATTCACATACATATTTCCATTGAACAGTTATTTTGGGAACAGTGATTGATTCAATATTATAAAAATAAATATAACATATGGTATAATGAATGCTAGTCACCCGTGCAGATCCAATTACATGGCTAGTCAAAATAGAAAATAATACTTAGTCCCAGACCATTGCAGCAAATACAGCCTAAGGGTGGAGGATGCCTCTGAATATTTGTAGAGGAAAAGAGACAGACAACAAGAACATTCGTTAGAATAATAAACCCAGTAAGAAGAATTGGAGAATTGGCACCGGAAGACTTGTTTTTCTCAGAATGTAAAGAAAAAAAAAAATCTAAATTATCCTCATGCAATAACTTAGCAGAGAAAAAGGAAAAAACTAAAATGTATGTGTGGGCAGATACATGAATAGAAGTTACAAGGCTTCAAAGCAAAACTTTGATAGGGCCATTGAATTACCTCTCTTTGCAGTACCTGGAACTTTGCCCCTAATTACACCACTGATGGCCTGTTCTACATGCTATACGTTTGGTACACTAGTGATTAGTGCAAAATATTTTTTTTTTAATTAAAGTCCATTTAGAGACGAGGACAGAGAAATTGTAAGACATATAACTCTGCCCCCAACTGTCATGCTTCAGTGTAAGCATTACATAGGGCCAATAAACATACAGGTGTGTGTGATCTGTGTCCCTCAATGGATTTCACGAAAAATATTTTACGATAAGTAAAAAAATCTTATTTTTTAAATAATCCATTTAGGAACAAAGGAATGTAGAAACACAGAAACAATAGGGATGTCCAAAAGCAGTCCAACTGAAGGGCGGGCAACAGCCACTCACAAACTTAAGGCAGATTCAGGAGCCATCTGCAACAACCAGAAGAATGAACTCCTGAATCTAAACCAGAAAAGGTCACAGAGAATTGACCTGCTCAGGTTAGGACAAAAATCATCGCCAAAGGAAGTGACAACCTTAAGGGAAACTTAGTCTGCCCCAGCAGAAGATATTAGACAAAGCAACTAATAACAGGTGGAGTATATAAATACACAAACTGAAGAACATGCCACAAAATGAAGAAAATCTCTTTGCTAACTGGACAACAGGTCCACAAAGGAAGATCAGTAGTAGGGAAGATATCCATCCAATTTTTGTATAAGATAATCAAAATAGAGAACTATCTAGAACAGGGTTCTCAAACCTCCGGCCCTCCAGCTGTGGTGGAACTACAAATCCCATGAGGCAATGCAAGATTATCACAGCCACAGACATGACTCCCGAAGAGAGATGCATCATGGGATTTGTAGTTTCACCACAGCTAGAGGGCCGTAACTTTAATGGCATCCCAGTATTAGTCCGTAGGGTTCAGTATCGAGTTGGTCTACTCTTTTCCGCTATAACAGCTTCAACTCTTCTGGGAAGGCGTCCACAAGGTTTAGGAGTGTGTCTATGGGAATGTTTGACCATTCTTACAGAAGCGCATTTGTGAGGTCAGGTACTGATGTTGGACGAGAAGGCCAGGCTCGCAATTCATCCCAAAGGTGTTCTATCAGGTTGAGGTCTCTATGCACGGTTGTTGTGCCAATCGGAAGGCCACACGAAGTTTGGAGGTCTGTAGCTAATGACTCTGCAGACAGTTGGCGACTTCTGTGCACTGTGCGCTTCAGCATGCGCTGACCCCGCTCTGTCATTTTACGTGGCCAACCACTTCGTGGCTGAGTTGTTGTTGTTCCCAGTTGCTTCCTCTTTGTTATAATACCATTATATATATGTATATCCAGGACATAGGACTATATGCTCTTTGACCTGCCCTGATCTAGCAAGATGTGCACAGCCATGTAGTGAGGGAGAGGAATTGTAGCAAGGGAGCTAAAAATAATACTTGAGAAAAGTAATTATTTGGGATAGTTAGCGAAGTATGTTTTTTAGTCTCCACAGCTTGAGCAAAGGCTAAATTTGTTTGGTTGACCGAAACTCAAATGCAGCTCAAGCTCCCTTACTTATGTGTTGCTCTTTTTGTTTACAGTACAAAGTAAATAGTTAATATTAAAGATGTTTGCTTAGTCGGTCAAACATTAGAAAGGTAATGACACAAAACACAGTGTTTAGAATTCTTTTACTAGTTATAGGAAATTACACAAATAAGAAAAATGGGAACAAGCAAGTTGTTTGGGTCTCCTTGTCTCCATATCTTCCTGTGCTTTCTTCACATGCACCGTCTAGATATTCTCAGAAAAATGCCTCTGTGTTTACACTTAGCAGACATCTGTATATTTTGAGAAACAAATGTCCCTTGTAAATTATTTTTTCCTTGAAGGCAGCAGTAAAAAAAAATATATGATAAACTGGCACAGAATGCAAGAATTATCTACAGGGCTCAGTTTCCTGTGTAGTACAGGAAGATACATCATTGCTGTGAGTTTTCTCTCACTTGCCCAAGCTTTCATTTAATTAATTACTCACATCGTGTTTACACTGCAGATTAAACATTCTTTGTTCTGAAAATACAGTATGTACAGATATTGCATTCACAAGCCATTCAATCATTAGCAAGTCAATTAGTCAGCAAACATACATAAATATGTTTACAGTAAAGAAATAAAATAAAATAATTTAAATTAGGAATAAGTAAATAAGCTTCTGGATGTACACTAAATCAAAGAAAGAGACGTTTTCTAACATTTAACACTCACAGAAAGAATGTACAGCAGTGCTAACATTTGACACTCACAGAAAAAGTGTATAGCAGTGCTAACATTTGACAGTCACAGAAAGAATGTACAGCAGTGATAACATTTGATAGTCACAGAAAGAGTGTATAGCAGTGCTAACATTTGACAGTCACAGAAAGAGTATATAGCAGTGCTAGCATTTGACAGTCACAGAAAGAGTGTATAACAGTGCTAACATTTGATAGTCACAGATAGAGTGTATAGCAGTGCTAACATTTGACAGTCACAGAAAGAGTGTATAGCAGTGCTAACATTTGACAGTCACAGAAAGAGTGTATAGCAGTGCTAGCATTTGATAGTCACAGAAAGAGTGTATAGCAGTACTAACATTTGATAGTCACAGAAAGAGTGTATAGCAGTACTAACATTTGATAGTCACAGAAAGATAAGGTGTATAGCAGGGGTAACATTGACAGTCACAGAAAGAGTGTATAACAGTGCTAACATTTGATAGTCACAGAAAGAGTGTATAGCAGTGCTAACATTTGACAGACACAGAAAGAGTATATAGCAGTGCTAGCATTTGACAGCCACAGAAAGAGTGTATAACAGTGCTAACATTTGATAGTCACAGATAGAGTGTATAGCAGTGCTAACATTTGACAGTCACAGAAAGAGTGTATAGCAGTGCTAACATTTGACAGTCACAGAAAGAGTGTATAGCAGTGCTAACATTTGACAGTCACAGAAAGAGTGTATAGCAGTGCTAACATTTGATAGTCACAGAAAGAGTGTAAATAGCAGTGCTAACATTTGATAGTCACAGAAAGAGTGTAAATAGCAGTGCTAACATTTGACAGTCACAGAAAGAGTGTATAGCAGTGCTAACATTTGACAGTCACAGAAAGAGTATTATTATACAGGATTTATATAGAGCCAACAGTTTGCGCAGCGCTTTACAATATAAGGAAGACATTACAGTTACAATACAATATAAGATTTTAAGGAGGGCCCTGCCCCTGAGGGCTTACAATCTGAAAGAGGAGGGGGAAATGATACATAAGGAGGGAGCTGTGTGGGGATGAATTATTTGAGAATGTGAAGGTTCAGTGGAGTATATAGCAGTGCTAATATTTGACAGTCACAGAAAGAGTATGTAGCAGTGCTAACATTTGACAGTCACAGAAAGAGTGTAAAGCAGTGCTAATATTTGACAGTCACAGAAAGAGTATATACAGTAGCAGTGCTAACATTTGACAGTCACAGAAAGAGTGTAAAGCAGTGCTAACATTTGACAGTCACAGAAAGAGTGTATAGCAGTGCTAACATTTGACAGTTACAGAAAGAGTGTATAGCAGTGATAACATTTGACAGTCACAGAAAGAGTGTATAGCAGTGCTAACATTTGACAGTCACAGAAAGAGTGTAAATAGCAGTGCTAACATTTGACAGTCACAGAAAGAGTGTATAGCAGTGCTAACATTTGACAGTCACAGAAAGAGTGTA